TTTTTATATAGATAGAGGGTAAAGTGCAGGGTAAACTAACCAATCAGAGGACAGAGAAGATCTGCCACAGGCCACGCCTCCAGAGTGCCAAAAGCCCTTACAGCCGAGCGAGCAGGAGTCAGAAACCGAGCGCGCAGAGAGGCTGCCGAGCGCGCACAGAGGCTGCCGCGCGCGCGCACGTTTTCCTCTGCCGTGTGCTCGTTGACAACGCGCGCACGCAGGTTTGTCACTTGTGCACATCCTTGTGCGCTCACAGACACAGTTTGCTCCCTCTCAGTGCACAAATGACCTCTCGCCATGTATATTTCCGCTCGCGAGTCCCGTTCACACGCGCGCTGCCATGTATATTTGCGCTCGCGAGTCCCGCTCACACGCGCGCTGTGGACCCAATGCGCGTGCACGGGTTGTGGCACGCTTTAAACGCCATAGAAAACCCTGTTATGAAACTCTTTGCATCTGATAATTGAGTGATCGAGGAGATTTGTCACAGGGCTACTTCATGTGGCCTCCCATATCAGATAGTTAAATCTGTGGCTTCATTACCACACAGCAGACTAATTCCTCTGTAGCAGATGGAGTTGAAGCCTCAGGAGGGTGGATGGAAGGTAAATGTTTATGAGAGCGATGACCTGACTCCTCTGGGAGCTCTCAGTCTACCCACTGTGGCCCTTTATGGTCTCCACTTCCATAACCAAGAATGTCAGCCTGGTGTGACCGCTCGTTGGAATAAAAATAATAATAAAAATAGTAAAGCAAACAGCAACATGACGGTAGATTTTGTAGAGCTTATGTCATCAGCTTTTGATCAATCCTACTACGTTAAACAATTTACTCAATAAATAATCAAACAGAACACTGACTTTGTGCTTTGGAGTCATTTAAGTGTCATGTTTAATTTTTTTCCTAATTTTATGTTTACTTAGAGTTTTGTAATATTTAGTCACTAGTGTTTTTATTAGATTTTATTTCATTACATAATGCGTTGCTCCATCACTGGAGCATTTTATAGCCTAATAAAAAAATCCCTAAGTGGGAAAATGAAGCTAAATTAATTTGAATTGCTCTGCACTGAACAGTACTTTCCCTTACTTCCTCATTTTAAAGGTCAGTTAGTTTAATACATTTTTATTTGATTTAAGTGTGTAGAACAAAACAATGTTATAGAGATGATTAAAGCTCTCATTCACTCGTTTTTCTTTTTTTGTTTTTTTTTTGTTTTTTTTTTTTTTACATTTGCAGTAGTTTCTAGTATAAAAACCTTTTTGGGTCACTCTTTGTGGAAAAAAAAATCTTGAGCTCCTGCTTCAGGATGTAGGAGTTGATCAGAGGAGACGAGGCGCAGAAAACTGATATAATATTCGGATTTCTCGCCTGATTACCAAACAGCAACGCAATTAGTCCACTGCCACCACTCACTCTGCCACTGTAGATGATTTATATCCACAAATAACAAAAGCCTAAAGGAAATCTGCCATGTTGTGGAGGTGCTAATGCTAACCGTTAACTTCTACTAGCCGATAAGCGCTCTGCTCTCTCCTGGATGCAAAAATGAACAAAGCTCTACCTGTTCGTAAGCCTAGGTGAGTGAGTCGATGAACGCTAATTTATAGTGTGATGTAGATCTGACTTGAGTGTTACCCCTAGATGATGGGACTTAGGGCTGGAATATACTTGCTTTTTAACCTTGCCATTTGTTCACATACTTGCTGCTGCACAGCATGTAGAACTGGAAGATTCTGCTGGGGGTGCAGTAGAGTAATCAGACCGGATAGAGAGCCAGGTTTGTGGGGTACAACCAAAAAAAAAAACATGACGTCAATTGAAGAGATCAGTAACTGGTTAATTTTGACTGCAGCAGAAAAAAGACAGCAGCAGTATTGTACATAGTATAAAAAAACTGTTCTAAACCAGAGACGGAGTGACTATGAGTATGTCTTGCTCATTATGTCAACTCCGCCTGCTGGTTACTCATATATTGCAGCATTTGAATGTACTGCGTTAACTTAAGGGGACTCGCACAAACGACACTTCAAATCAACACAAGTTATGCAATGCAGCCATTTTAAACATGCGCACGCGTTGTTATAGTAGCTATATTCCAGGCCTGATGGCTCTTATAAGGCTCAGTGACCTTGTTGTTTCAAAATGAAGGCAATAAATGACAAAAGAGCTGAAACAACTACCAGCAGAACCATTAAAAATGGTTGACTAAATAAAACAGTTACTGCACGTAGAGAAAAGACTGAGTCATCACAGATTAGATGCAAAGTGTGAGCGGAAAAAAAGAGTCAAATTAGTGAAGGTTATTTCCAGTGTACTGAAAAAAGAAGCTGTACAGGTTAAACAAAATTTTTATTTTTGGTAAAAATCTAATGCAAACACTGAATGGAATATTTGATCTAGTTTGTTACACAGCTATCTCCACATAAATAATGATAATATCTGCTCCAAAACCAGAATCTGTGCTGTTCTGTACAAAATAAGAATAGTCCATTTTCACACAACTACATAGACATGTGTGAGCAGGAAAAAAAAACTGAGAAGGAAGTGTGGCATGAGCACAAAAATAGGACGGCGCGGGACGGCTCACGCATGACTCACAGTTATGGAGTTACAGCTTTTGATGTAATAAGTCAAATAAAGTTCTATCAAAGATAATGAATGCCAAGGAAAAATGCCTCTTATTTGAATTCATGGAACTTCCAGCTTTCCTTCATAATGTTAAAGAACAGCTTTCTTCCGACTACCACAACCCTCTAGGTTTCAGTCCTTTTTTTATGATTCTGTTTCTTTTTCCTTTTGGTAATATTGTGTTTGATCATCTTCTGGTATCATCCAGTAGGGTAAGCCTCTAGAAGTAAAAACGTATGTGTTTTTATTTTGAATGGAGCAGACCCCAGGAAGAATAGTCTTACTATGGTGAAGACTGATGGGGATCCTTAAATAAACAAATAAATGGTAAAAATGGTAAATGGCCTGTATTTGATATAGCGCCTTCTAGAGTCCTGGAGCCCCCCAAGGAGCTTTACAACAAAACCAGTCAATCACCCATTCACACCCACATTCACACACTGATGGTGATGAGCTACGATGTAGCGACAGCTGCCCTGGGACGCACTGACAGAGGCGAGGCTGCCGAGCACTGGCGCCACCGGTCCCTCCGACCACCACCAGCAGGTAACGTGGGTTAAGTGTCTTGCCCAAGGACACAATGACAGTGACAGACTGAGCGGGGCTAGAACCTGCAACCTTCCGATTACGGGTGAGCACTTAACTCCTGTGCCACCGTCGCCCACAATAGATAAACTGACTAAAGCTTAAGCTCTGCCCGTGTTTGTTGAAAAGCTATTCAAGCTAGTAATAAACTTTTTAACATTAAATGTGTGGGACACACTTAATCAATACATTTGCAGTGGTCTGTGGTAGGAAAAATACCTTACAAGTCGTGCTCAGGGGTAAAAATGCTCAAATACACTTCTTTCAGGAACTAGCAGAATGCCACATGAGAGGAGAGCTTCAGAAGACAAGATTTGGAGTCTTATTTCCTGATATTTAGACATCTAGCCTCAGATTGGCTAACAGCAATGTGACTATACCACTATCTTCATTTGTTATGCAACATTGAGTTTTTATCTCCAAAAACATTCAAGCCTAGAGGTGTTCTGCTGTGTGGTGGAGTTGCTGATGCTAACGGTTAGCTTCTACTAGCCGAGACCTTCTCTGCTGTTTCCTGAACTGCTAACAGCAGTCGTGAGCCAAAATGAGTTCATGAATGAATGAAGTGTGGCATAGATCTGTCAGGCTTTTCAAATCCTAGAGTTTCACTGTCTCTTTTCTGTCAGAAGCTAATGCATTAAATAGGTGTGGGAGACTATTTTCATGTTCAGCCTGCATGAAAAACTCAGAGTAACTGATTAAAATCAGAAATATTCATTCAAAATTGTTTTTCCAGTGTTCCACATCTTTAAATGCCAGCAGAATTCGTGATAATTGCAGTTTGCAGCTTATCTTCTTTGCTAATTTGCCTCAAAAGACTTTGTTGAAACATAGAAATGATTAACATGCAATAAAAGGAAGGAAAATGGTTCATTAACATAAATATGGGCAATTCATTGTGCAGTCACTCTGAGTCTGTCTTCAAAAGACCTGCTTTTCTATCGCCATTGTGTCATTAATAATAGTCAGCCATGTGAAGTGTTTAGGGTAACCACGGACAACAGAAGCCCACTTACAGCAAATATCACAGCTGTCTAATCAGTGATGTAGATGTTCTTTAAAATCGTCATCAGCAGCAATCTGCATCTTCTGATTATTGCACTTGCTGTTTTTTTTAGCAAGAAGGCTTTTGATGCAATAATAAATGCAAATTTAACACATTTTTTCTACATTTTAGTTCATGCCAAAGCATTTAAACTTAGAATTCTTGTCATTTATTTATTATTTACAACCATTCTATGAATCTTAACAACCTAAACCTGTAGCCTTTTAAATGAGCCGGTGGGATCAAGTTCTGTAATAAAAAACCAAGAAGCGTCGACATAAAGACCTGGCCTGAACTTCCTTTGTGGTTATGCTGGAGCAACAAAACATGCATCACAAGGAACTGAGGCATATGAGAGTGCACTAGACCTCTTACCAGGAAAACACTGATTTACAAAGAAAGGACTCCACTTTCTTGAAGTATTATTACCGTTTAACAAAACGTACTCGAACTTTTACAGGCAGAAGTCCTCAAAAAATGGGATTGGTCTTCAATAAAGTCACAGCTCCACACTTGAACCAACATTGTGCTACTTCAAGAGCTAAAAGAAATACCGGCTTACCAAATTAAGCTTGACAGTATCACTCAAGACACAGTCTGTGGTTTGTGAAGCAAACAGACTTAGCAGCAGGAAGTCAGTCAGGAAGCATTTCTCAATGTGCATGTTCATCATGTACACTGACAGAAACAACTACTATAGTCTGGAAATAAAAAAAATATTTGAATGATTGTGAAATGAGCTTCAGTTTAGGCAAAAAAAAGGGCAAGGTTACATAACAAAACTAGTTGATTATTAAAGAAGCAGCTGACTTGAAGTAAAACTGAAGTCAGGGTCAAGTTCCGAGTTAATTATAGACATGTCACATGTAAGCTCTGGGGAAGATCCTAGGAAATGAACTGTGTGGGGTTGTGTGTTCTCTTTATCCTCATTGTGTGTTGAAGGTACTCAGCCATCTGAGTAGACCTTCAACCACATCTGCAAGTGAAAAGGTTTGTAGGTCAGCCTGATAAGACCTAACCTTCAACACACAGGGAATGTTTGGATTGCACCGTGTCCTTTTAGGAATGAGTCGGCATAAATGATAAATCTTATCCCAGTGACTCGTATTATTTAGCCTACTTCATGTCTTTTATCAGGGTTTACAAGCTCTGTGGGATTGAGTTGCTGCTACTGATGCTATCCTGCACTTCCAAGAGTTTTATTTATTTTTCCCAGGATCTAGGATTCAGACATCGAACCCCATCTAAAAGCTTAAAGGTAATTCCATCCAGTCCAAATGAACTCACCTCCTCAATGTAACTTTCCATGAAAGAGCCACGGAACATGGCGGCCATCCAATCACAGCTGGAGATGAGGAGAGGTTTGTGGGCCGGCAGGCAGCCATCGTCCAGTCGGAACACCACATCTGAAACCGGGGTGGGAAAAAGAGCGGTCATCTTGTGGAAAGCCACAGAATCCCAAGCTACAGATGGAGGGGAAAGACAAACGAGGCAGACACCCAAACACATGCACAACTAGACAAAAGAAAAGGCCAGACAAACACATTGAGACATGGACACGGGTAAGACAGACAGAGAGATAAATTGACACAGAGACAACAAAGCTTTCGGACCAGAGGAGGGGAAAGAACGCAGGGTTACGTAGTGGATGCTACAAGGTCGAGAGGTAAAGTGAAGCAATAACATCATTAAATTAGTCTTGGGGGCTATATAGGAAATGCATTTTAAAGGTGCACATAGCTGGTGAAAATGTGCACTTCAAAATAACGTTTCGTGTCACCATAATTACGAAGACGCACACATTACAGAGTCGAATTGAAGACTGAAGGTTAGGTTCGGTGGACTTCTAGGATTGGCAATGTAAAAGAAGACAAAACCAGGGTGCTAGCATTCACGAGAAAATACACAACAGAGTTAAGAAAGTAAACAAGCAGTCAACAAGTCAAACAATGACTCAAACATACAAAATGCACAAGTTATTCAACAGAACAAATATACTGAGGGTACATTTTAAGACTGAAAGACAGTGCTGCAAAATCGCACTGTTTTTGTCATTCTTTTCCATCACGTACACAAAAATTCACCCACACACACACAATAATCTATTCCTGACAAGGCATACATGGACAACGTCCACAATTCTGAGGAAAGTACTGAGGCATTGGCCATTTAGCATTGCAGTTTACCAGCAAAAGTCCCTTTATTGAGGCACTCTTTGATGCGGTTGGCTCTGCGGACGTGGAAGGCCTTGGTGATCTCCTGGTTCATGAAGCTCTCTCGGTTCAGAACGTTTGCCACCATCATGCGCAGGTCGAACACCTCGAGCAGCTCTGCAATGGTGGCCACCTGCATCAGGTCATTTCGACTCTCATCCAGACTGCCTGTGTATAGGTACTGAAGCACTGCCTGTGGTCACAGCAAACCATGAGGTCAAATACACACATTAATGTATATGCATATATATGAAAGTAACAAAGAAGTGGAACATTAAGAGACTTCATTTAAGAATTGTTTTAGTAGAAAGGATAGTTTCACCTTGAATGGTTCTTCCTGTATTAACGCATCCATGGCTACCACGGTCATGAGACGAGGTCGTCCGGTCATCGGATCATCAATGTGTTCCAGACACACACTTAGAAAACCCCTTCCCCATCCAGAAAGTGCTCGACCAGTCCCTAGTGCTCCCATGGAGTACTGGGCTCGAGAAGGGAGTGCATTATCACTCTGGGAAGTCCTCAGAGATCCCTGATGGAGGAGCTGGGGTCGGTTTAGACCCCTAACTCCTCCATCTACTCCATCTTTATCAATGTCCAGACTCTTAGTGCGTCCAGCTTGCTCTTTGGCTCCTCTCCTGCTCTGCTCGTCCTCCTCCCCATTCTTAGTGTTTTCCTTACCGTTCTTTTCCTCCCCACTCAGTTCTGTACGCAATCCACCAATATCAAGGGTGAAAAGGTCATAGAACTTGGAGCAGGATGTGGCTAAGTAGATTTTGTGTGCAAAAACACGAGAGGAGCCTCCCTGCAGAACAAAGAGCACATCTGCACAGAGGGGGTAGCAGAAAAGGGAGTCTGGGCCTTCGCCGTCTGTGAGAGGAGGGTCCGGGATGCCCACTATAGGGCGTGGTGGGCGAGGAGGCAGGAAGGGCGCCTGGAGAAGGGGTCTCTGGACCTTTTTAAGGTGTGATTTCCAGAACTGCAGATGTCGACGAGAGATGAGCGCTGCACGGATGGCATTATCGAAAACATCTTTGACTCCAAACTGTGCAACAATGCTGGTCTCGTAGTAGGGAATACCAAGTTCTTTTGCCACCTCATGGCCTCTCTCTGGAGGAAGAATATCTGTATGTTTGATGGGCCTGTGAGAGATAAGGATCTTTAGGATGCAAGTACTCTAGTAAAGAAGGATGAAGTAACAAAAACATGCATGCAAACACATTTAAATATGTAAAGAAGCAATGAAATACCGCAGGGATTCGGTTACTGTCATGCTGCTGATACTGACCACTGATTAACTAGACAAACCAAGCATGTGCTCCTAGCCACATTGTTGAAAGAGCTATCTCAGAGTGAAAAGGAAGGCGTCTCACTTTGCTAACGGTCGTCGTGCACGGTTAACCGCATCCAGGTCAGCATAGCGCAGATCCAGCTGGCAGCCAACCAGGATGATGGGTGTTCGGGGACAGAAGTGCTTGATCTCTGGGAACCACATGGTCCGAACATGGCGCAGGGAATTTGGATTAGCAAGAGAGAAGCACAACACCACCACATCAGACCTGCACAGAAAAACAAGAGTGAACATTTATTCGATGTATAAGCAAAAAATACAAAACAACAACACAAAAACAGGCAAAGGAGAGCTGATTTCTCGTGTCACAAGCCGGCGCTGTCAGTCAAGAGAGGACATGTACCCTTTGATGGATTTATAGGACCAGAAAAGACAAATGAAAAAAGGGTCAGTGCTGACTCATTGAACAAGTTGTCAATTTATATTAAAATATGCACAATGTGTGTATGGAAGCAGCATGTTCAGCTTCTGCAAGGGATTATGGGAGCAGACCAGCACTGATGTAAAAGCTATGAGGTGGAGCTTCGAGATGTGTGTGTCTGGACCTCTGGGCTGGTTATTTATGTGGTGCTTGTGTCTTTTTTTATTTGTCTCCTGCGTAAATCTCCATAAGTCCTCGAAGGCAAAATGAACAACAAAGCAAGGGCCAAGAATAGATAAAGATACACACACACACACACTCATCTGATGTGTCTGAACAAGCAGACAGTGGCCCAGCTGCTCTCGAGCTTTATACTGACATGTTGATGCATGTGTGTGTTAGTATTTTGAGGTACTGTTTGATTTCTGTCACTGAGACGGATTATTTTGTTTTGCTGAGGAAGTTACATTTCTAAGTTGTAAATCATCTACCTCTGCAACAGTGCGGCAACACAGGGATTAAGTTCAGGAGCAAATGATTATTCAAACTTATGCAACTCATGCTACATTAATTATCATTTACAGCTTGGAAACCATTTCTTGGAAAGACTATATATCAGTTTTTAATGTTTGTCAGGCATGCAGTGCACACTGGCAGATGTGAGGTAAATTTGAACATCTTTATGCACCAATTAAACGTACCTTTTAAGCAAAAATATGAATGTTTCAGAACATTTTACCCACTTTGGGGACAAGGTCAGACTCTAAAAAGGCCATACTTAAACTCTTAAACTCTTCTTAAAGCATGTTAACAGACATGAACACTGTAGCAGATGTCTGTTGATATTTATGCTTTATAAAGAGACATTACTGAACATAAATGGGTTAGGGATGTTTTTACAGTGTAATGTGGGGTCTAAGGTGCCTTTACTTTCACAAACATAATCTCTGCAAAGCTTCCAATCTCAAGTACATAATATACCAGGGCCTGGAATTACATCACAGCATACGCATACACACAAACTTGCATTAGCACGTTGTCAAAGCATCATTACCAAGGATAAGAGTGTGCATTAAATGAGGTCAACTCGTGAAAAGCTTTAGCTCACATGTTTAAAGGGACTTTTTTTTTTTTACTATTTACGCTGCAGTTCTGAATCACGGGGTTTAAGCCCAAATGTTTTTTTTTGAAAATGTCAAGATAAAACAAATAGTTAAATAAATGTATCAAAACAAACGGTGCATTAAAATCACCATCATCCCCCATCTTTTACTTCTCTGTAGTGTAGAGAAGAGAAAGATTAAAATGTTCCGTCCCAAAAACGGCTGGATGTAACAAAGATAAGCTATCAGATGAAAATAAAAACATGAATAAAACATATTTATGAGGGTGCCTTTGTTGCTGTGTAAATGGAAAATAAAAATGTGTAGCAGTTTTTTGATTTACCAAAAAATTATTATTAGAAGGGAATTTTTTTACGTCACAACTGAGGAAGATTTGTCTTCAATTAAAAGATTAACAAAAAAGATAAGGTGAAGAAAAGGAGGCTATGAGACATGGAAAGTGAATCTAAAATGTTCTGTGGGGTACCCCAAGGCTCTGTTTTGGGCCCACTTGTGTTTTTACTATATAAACATTCTCTTGGGCAATGAATTAATTTCATAATGCCTCCTATCATCCTCAGCTGTACCGCACCTTTAATGATTCTGATTTCTATAAACTTCTAGTGTGTCTATAAGCTATCACTAGCTGGTTTAAAGATAACTTCCTTCAGGTAAACTCTGAAAAGACGGAATGTTTGACTGTTTCCCCTGTGAGCATAGTTTCTCTGATTAGTCCACAAATTGGTCATTAACTTTTGCCGTCAAGTCAAACTTGAGCAATATGGTGTTGTTTCTGACCAATCAATATCTCTTAAAGGCCACTCAAATGGTGGTCCGAAACTGTTTTCATCATTTGAGAAACATTTCAAACATGAACTTATTTGGTTTAATGGTCTTTGTCTGGTTGTTTTTAATGACTCTTTGGTTTTGATTTTGTCTTTTAATCCCCTTTAATTTTGATGAGATTTCATTTGTGAAGCAGTTTGTGATTTTTCTAGTTTGTGATTGGTGCTATGAACTTTACCTAATTACTTGATACATCATTATTATTAGCAGACACAAGACTGTAATTGTGCCATTAAAGAAAAGCCAAAAATATGTCAAATGTTTAAACAGATCTCGGGCAGCAAGAGTGGATTTGTTTGTTGAAATTAAATGGTGGTACTCTAAATATGGACAACTTAATCTTAGATAACAAAATATTCTACAACTAACAATTTTCTGGACTTTACTACACTCTCAGTGTCTTGAGCTCCTAACACCTCTGTGCTCAACTTCCCCGCTGGAACAGACTGTACAAACATTTAAATCTACAGCGGGCCCCCCTGTCCAACACTGTAACTCAGAGATATTTTGTCTGACATAAAAGGTGTGATTTTTTTTTTTAGGTGCTGAACTTTAGCTCTCTTGGTGCTCCAGTAGGGATAGGGGCCAGAACTTTGAGCCCAACAAATCCTCTTAGGCCACACTTGGCCAACTGTTGGTTAAGGCAACCAAAATGTGAAAGGAAGAGTTTAAGAAGGGGTGACAGGCTGCTTAAGATTCTGAACTGGCAATGCACCAACTCGCAGTGCTTACGGCTGTAATGCAATTTGAAAAATGCTACAGGAAGGAAACAGGGTGTACAGCTCGTCTGTGGTTACTTGGCTTATTTTGGTACTTGTGCACAAAACATAGCGTAAATAGAGTGACAGCATTTGCAGTAATAAAGTAATAATTCATGCTGGTATGATTAAGGTATTCAAAGCACACTGATTAAAACTTAAGATTAAGAAAAAGACCACCAGATTTTTATCTTTGATTTGAAGCCGTGAATTCCACCTGGGACACAATGAATCCGCAAAGGCAAATCTGTTTTTTCAATTAATTTGATTTTGCTCTTTTTTATTTTTATAACTAAAAACATTTGAAGTGTTTAAAGAAACTATCAATACAAACACTTGGTTTACGCAACAAAAGTTTACATTTTTTACTTTTTGAGTTGTTTAGACTAATGCTCTGAAGACCCTTTTTATCATTTTTGAAAACAACTAAGGAAGCAAAAAAAGGAACATGGCTTTGTTTGGGTTAGTTCATTTTTCTGAGAAATGTGCTGAAACTTGAAGAAAATGTTTATCATTTCTATTTAAATCTCAATTTCTAACTCTGACCATGTATGTGCGTCATGTTCATTTGCTAAATTTCCTATTTAGATTAGTTTAATGCGTGCTTCACAGAAAAGTGTGTTCCATTTAACCATTTTCTTTGACAAAGGAAGGACAGTGTCCTCATTAGTAAGGCGCCTGGCCTCGCAAGACATCGCCTCACAAGGCCAGGCGCCTTGACATTGAGAATCACCCCAGGTCTGGAGGGAACGGGGAACAGGTAGGAGAGGAGGCTTTGATGCAGAGAACTGGAGAGGCATGCAGGGCAAAAACAGCTGAGCTGGCAGTGTGTCTTTATCTGCAAGTTCAGAGTGTATGCACACACACACACACACACACACACACACACACACACACACACACACACACACACACACACACAAGGAGGAGATCACTGGGCAAATGTAGACATCTAGACAGAGAGTAAACACAACAAAGGGGTGGAAATTTGAGCTGCAAACGAAGCTACATGCAGCTGGCAAATACATAAAAGACGTCAGTCACACACATTTACTTTGCACAAAGGGGACAAGGTGACATGTTACACAAAGTGCATGTAACCAACCTTGACAGGCTGCAGAATCTGACACACACAAAGCATCACATCCATGCGAGTATGCATGATGGGTGGGGTGTCTTTGAGAAGTCTTCCTTTGAATTAATTAAAATTTAAATACAAAAAACTGACCCCGGCATAAAAACCCTCAGTCCCTTTTGATCCCAAATCTGTTGTTTTTGATTGTGTTTCAGTGATTAATCAGCTTCAACAAAGACAGGTGTGAAGTGAGAGGATAGAGACGATCCTGTAGTGTTTGATGAAGGAGGGCGTAACGCCTTAAGAAGTAGGATTAAAAAGGGACTGGCAGCTCGATGAGTGAAAATGTATTTACGCAATGTTTGACAGATTTATTAGTCGTCTTAAAAGATGCAGTCTTCAAACCCAGCCAAGTTACTTTCCCAAACTCACCCAGCAGTTAAACTGAGAACTGTGTCAACGTCCTAATGCCAGGCTGAACTAATTATTAAAGTGGAATGTGTTTCAAGGTAGTTAACCTTGTGATCAGCCAGCCACTGTGTTATTAGGTCAGTAACTAAGTTCTAAATGCAAGACTGCTTAAGTGTGTGTGTGTGTGCGTGCGTGCGTGCGTGTGCGTGTAAGACTGTAACCCTACCTGCCATAGGCAAATCGTCTGTCTTTGTGATGATCCCCGAATGTGTCCCACAGCCTCAGGGACACACTGACCTCGTCCACGACGTCACGAGATCTCTCCAGCACCTGCAACATTAGACACATATCCCTTTTGGTCAGGCCAAAGGTCACCAATTTATTGTGAGTTTTGTGCTTTTATGAAACTGGGAGGTTATGTAATCACCAGGCTTACAGCAAAAGAGAAAAAAAAGTTGTGCATAATGTCAAAATGTTGCTTTTCCACTCTGGGAAATTAAGTGTTTGACCTCATGAGGAATTTGTTTATTTGTGGATTTTTCTACAGAGTAGTTGCATAAATGTACATGTTTGTGTGCACACCCACCTCCTGGCATACACGGTACTGGTCGATGGCCCAGACGGTTGGCACGTGGGTGGCTAGCAGCTGATACTGTGTGAGCGTGGCATTGCAGGCCCGAGCACAGATTAGCCTGGTCTTACCTACTGCATTATCCCCCACCACCACACACTTAATGGTTTCCACATTGGGCCGCTCATAGTCTGTGTCTATATCCATGGAGAGGGCCCTAGAAAAATACAAGAAGATGGAAATGAAGACTATTGAAGGAATCACTGGGATAACTGAAGCAATATAACAATTTAGTTATGTGATCAAGCAGCTCTTCAATTGTTCAGTTGTTGAGGGAATGCATTGTTGAAGCTGTGAGCCCCCATGGCCAGACTAGCAGAAATAGAGCATCTGAAACATTCATAAAGGCCTTCACTTGCTATTCCATTGACGTGGATGCCAGCACAACACTTCAGTCCAGCAATGACAGACACAAGGAGCTAAAAATGGCAACTATTCGTCAGACGCATAGCCATGTGCGCAAATGCTATTCAGCCATGACCTTGTATCTATGCATTCCTTTACCTCCATCCTTCCTGCATAATAACGCTGCTTTTTCTCCCCGTCTAGAACCAGATGGCATTGATTTTCCTAAAAAAAAGTTCAATTATGTCTTCCAGACTCCCTAACTGTCTAAAAAAGGAGGGAAAAAGAGAGTCCATCAAAGGCACCATCACTTGAATATGACTTTCAGAGTTATAAATATCCCTTTCCTTTGCCACCTGTGTGGTGGTGACACCTCTGGAGGCATGTATGCTACAGGCAGATGAAAGAGACAGAAGGGGCGATAAAAAGGTAGCACAACCCTGAAGTTGCCTAACAGCCATCTGCCGAACGCTGACAGCAGCTGCCAAAGTGGCACTTTTCTAGGTGTTATGGGAAAAGTGATGAAGGGAAAATGGGAAAACCTGCAACACTACAACTGTCTTTGCACTGTTCATGGTATGCTACAAATAAAGTAAAGAAACCCAGATGGGGGGGGGGGGGGGGGGTTCTGGCAAACAGTAGAGTAGACGAGGGGGTGTTTATCACCACTAACTCCCAGCACATTGCAACAACTGATAAGCGGACGGAATTGCAAGAAATAACAGCCAGGGAGGAAATTATTAATCTTACGAAGAGAGGGAAGGGCCAACGTAACAATCACACAGTTGCGCCAAAGAGGATCAAAAGAGCAAGAACAGCAATAACCAAGGCTGCACTGGAAAACAAATCATAGCTTTTTCTGCTGATTCTCCTCTCTGCCCGACAGTGTTTAATTCCCTCAGGAGGTGAGAAAAATGCAGGCAGAGGACGGACCAGAGTACAGTTTATAATCTTTTATTATTGACCCTAAAAACTCTGGTGCATGCATCCAGGAATGTGTGTGCATGAGAACCAGCATGTCCTTGGCCGGGCATGCAGTGATGTAACCAGAAGGTGGTGTGGTGGTGATGTGAGGTATCTCGGGGGGAATCAAGCCCAGCTCATGAATATCGTTCCTCCATCTGAGGCTGCTCGCCAGGCCAAAAATTGTCAAGTCATGCATACGTCAACTCAAATTACACAATCGACGTCTAAAGCTTTCAACAAACGTGCACTTGTTCGAAAGGTTTCGCGCACAACCTTGAACATTTATTTCCAGCAGAATCTGTATATGGGTTGGTCGAGCAGCGCAGGTCACAGATGCAGAAAGAAAAGCTGTAAATGTTCGATTTCATTTTTGTCAACGACCCATGGTGAACTCCTCACAAATGCCGTCTAGACTTTATCAGTCCCACGCTCTTTAGAGGGAGGTGGACTAATCAGCAAGGACAAAGTGGTCATAATAAAACTTCTGAAAATGACATTGAGCTTTGGTCATGTTCCCAGTCGTTTCTGTAAAGCCATTCAAAAGTCTGATGAATACACAGACTCAACCTTTATGATGTCGTGAGTTACTGCAAAGTAAGAGCTGAAACAAGACAAAGCACATTGTGTATCATGAGTGGCTCAGTGTAGCTTTGCTTTAAGGCCAAACATGCTTTTAAAAGGAGAATGCTGGGTTTATCGATACATGAGCTTATCGTTTTTTTACACACAAAAGCTTGTTGTTTTAAAATTCTGTTCCTTAATCCCGTTTGTGCTGGTATTTCTGCTTTGTTACCAGCTGTGCCCACTTTACTACATCTTCATGTAATGCTCCAGATCAATGTTCCTTTTCCACTCCTCAATTATATCAAGTGTTTATTTATGACTTTTTAGACCAGTCCCTCCTACCATCTCCCTCCGTACTTCTCTGTTACGTAACAACTTTGGTGATCCACAACGGCTCATCCCTAAACCTTCCGTGACCCGCATTTGCAGCTTGTTTGTCTATTTCCTTGGGGTTAGAGGTCATTCTAGTCTCTTAATGAGGAGATCCCTTCACATCACCCAGATTTGATTAAAAATAAATAAATGCATGCATGCACATACGCATACACACACATGCAGTTTGCAGGCTTTATACTATCGCAAGCTTGACTGAATGGTCAAAATGTGGAATTAATAGAACTATTGGTGCTTTTCTTTTTTTTTTTTTTTTCTCAAAATAAACTTTTTGTCCAAGGTTTCTGCCCGGATGACAGAAAACATCATCTCACACAACCTTGTTTGCTCTTCAGGTGTGTGTGAAAGTGTATGTGTGTGTGTGTGTGGATGTGTGCCTGATGATGTTTGAGACACTGACTGCCACAGGCACAGCTGGCACAGACGAGTTACATAACCTGGTTTGTAGCTGCTGCTTCGCTCCCTGAAAGGCTGACAGTAGAACACACACACACACACATGCATGCATGTACCCACTGCAGATGTTACTGGTAATGATGTGCATCCCATAGTGGACAGTGTGATGTGCGTGTCTTTATTCTGGTGAACTGATGCATCTTTGGCTGCTGCATAAAACTCACATAAAAAAACCAACTTCTTCATCTTGTTTTAGCTTCAGAAACACTTTGTTAACACCAACGGTCTCTTCCTGGTGCCCTCATTTACTTCCACCCTCACCAGCGTCGTCCTCCTCCTCCTGATGCTGCTTGTCCTCCTTCTCGCTGTCCATATTTTCCACCTACTCTTTCCACTCATGCTCTATTAACTTGTTTATCTTGTTTCGATGTAACGCCCATACTTTATCATCACTGCCAACAGATTTTTATTTTACAACATGTAGGCAAACTGCTTTTAATTGCCAATTTTCCCCCCCTTCCTTTTAAGAACTCAAAAAGTTAAAACTGGATGTATTTAAGAGACACTGCACTATACAAACACATTGGCTTTATCGGTGATGTTTTTATGTTCCTGCTTGGAAAGATATTGATACTTAGAAAAAAACTGAATGTGGAATCATCCACCCTCGAAATTCAAAAATAGCCTGGACTTTCATCACCAAACTATTATTTAACAGCAGCTGCAGGTGCTGAACTCATTTAGAACCGCAGACCTTCCATTGCATGCTGTGTTCAAAACAAAAAACAACAAACACATAAAAGCATATACACAATTTCAAGCTCTATTACCTCTGCGCGTCCACCACTGCTTCCTGTTACAAGGGTCAGAACATTCAAGTCAGCCATATAATACTGGTTCACTCTTCCATGTGGGTTTGTGAGTGCTGCACATTGTTATCTCAAAGCTGTTGACATAGACAAAACTAAAAGTATAATCAGAATAATAGGTGGCCTTGTCACAAATCCATCTGACAGCACACTTACTGATAGCAAAGATCTTTGAATTATGAAGTGCATAGTTGGTAAAAAGATGAAAGGGACATGTTTCTGTTTCTGGTGGGTCCCAAAGCATTCCCATGCCAGAGACAGGATAAAAATCCTTCCAAAGTTATGGCTCATTCCCAGTCCCTCCTTCCAAAGGGATATACCCGGAAAGCCTCCACACCTGTTCTATTAGGCTGAGCCCATCCATGCTACGGAGGGAGCTTATTTCAGCAACTTGCCTCTCGGATCTCATTTTTTTCCATCACAAACTGAATCTCATGATGGTGCAAGACGGTTGGAACAAAGACGGACCTGTATATCACCTGTATATATCAGATCCTTCTATTCCACTACAGACTGGAAATTGGAGCTGTTACAAGATGACAGCTATCCATGTTGGATGTGAGTCCATGTTGATCATATCACTTCATTATAAAGTGTTTCTTCGAGCCATATCACTGAAAGAGTTACATTTTGCTACTGGTGCGGCTGGACAAAATCATTTTTTCTGAACACAGGTTGTTCATTAAGCTATATACAAGTTAAAGGAGCAATAGGTAAGATTTCATTCTCAGCTGGCTCTCGGGGTTGTTAGTTTTTCTTCTTTTAAAGGGACTTTACGGAGTTTTGAATTTTTATGCTCGCGATCGCCCCCTCAGGCCAAAAGCGTAATGGCAGCTTCAATAGGAGGCTCGTGCACGAGGCGCGCACGCTGTACGTGCACACTCCTTAACGAAAATAACAGCTGAGACAGTCCCTTGTGTGTGTGTGTGTGTGTGTGTGTGTGTGTGTGTGTGTGTGTGTGTGTGTGTGTGTGTGTGTGTGTGTGTGTGTGTGTGTGTGTGTGTGTGTGTGTGTGTGTGTGTGTGTGTGTGTGGCCCAGAGGACAGAGGACAGGAGAACGCGCAGCTAATTAATTAAATAATTTGGTCCTGTACCTTTCTCTTCAGCACAGCTGACAAAGGTTTAAGATGGGTCAGTCCTCCTGCATGCTCAGATCATTCCCTTCCCTTGCTTGAAAAATTGTTCCAAAATGAAAGTTGAACCCACATCTTTTTTATCTGTGAATTCAATGCCGTTCGGCGAGTCTCAAATAAAAATTTGGGCATCTTACTGTAAAAAAATATACCATTAAAGTAAAAAATAAACTCTAAAATAACTATGATCGTATCCAGAATCGAACCCAGGTCTTCTGCACCAAAGCCTGAAGTCTTACTAGACAAGCTAAACCACCAGTGACATCTTTTGTATCTGTAACATTTATATTCTTGATGACAGCTGAAACAACGTTCAAAGAACAGTTCTGAGGGCTATGCCTGAGCGTGAACGCGCATGAAGCAGCCTGCTCAACCCGAGCAGCTCTCTTTTTCTGTGATTTTACAGAAAAATAGGCAATCACAGTAAAAATGCCAGGGCTCATTCTACAGGACCAGGGCATTGCAGGAGAATGTATGAAGAAGAAATGTATTATTTCAATACATGTTTTGGCTGTCAAACTTCCACAATGCCCCTTTAAAAAATAAAAGAGGACGTAGTTTTTGTTTACAGTCTGTGAGCCTGTGAGTTTGCCCAGTCTTCACCAAAGCGCTGGCTTTGTAATTCAACAACAGCAAGGAAACACCTCCAGAGTTGTTTAACTCTAATCTTAACCCGAATTAAAGGCAGTGAGCAGGAGTGACCCAGAAGTTTTTATTTTGTCCCTATAAGCCACAACATATTTTTCTTTTACTCTTCTGGGTGAAGCAGACTAGAGGCTAACATTGAACTACCAGTGCTAACAATAAATTGGAAGTAAATAGTCGGCTTTACAAGTATCTCAAGTTACTTTTTCAATAACCAACAACTCGATTTTACAGTGAAATGTTTGTGTGAAGCGAATGAGTCAATTGTGGCGGTTTAGAACTGTTCAGAACTACAAATTAACAGCAAGATGGCAAATTACCACACGTCTTCTAATGCAAACACATTACCGTAATACGTGTAGTAAAGACTCCCTAAAAAAACACCCTAGAGAGCCAACACTAGCTATTACAATGTGTGTACTTATGAACATTTTCAACTTCGCTTTTCATCTAGAATCTTCAGGCGCTGATTTGTAACTGGTAACAGCCATAAAACTCTTAGACCTTCAGTGGGAATGTAACTTTTTGCTTACAAAAATGGTCAGCAGTAGCCAAAGTTGGCCACCAGGTGTCACTCTTATACATTCTGCACCTTTAAGAGACTTGTCTTCATAGCTTTAATACTAAAACTAAAACAGGTTTAGGGTGTGTGTGTGTGTGTGTGTGTGTGTGTGTGTGTGTGTGTGTGTGTGTGTGTGTGTGTGTGTGTGTGTGTAAATGACTCTTAGTTAAATGCTCAGTAATATGGACAGTTGTACAAAAAAGTTTAGTTTATCATGTTGTGGAAACCATGAATGTATGTATTATTAGATTTTGTTTCAGGAGAGAACATGTCCTTACTTGTTGGAAAACATATTTTTAAAAAAGTAGATCACGCAATGCTGTGTTCTGGCCAAATCTTTATGTAACTCCATCCATCTGGTTGGCATGATGCCGATAAGTTCAACGAAACTCACTTGGCATTATTCATTTATGTCCAAATGGAAGTGAGAGGCTCCTTCACCAGCCACGCTACCTGCAAAACGTAATAGCTCTGATGACGTCACAGTCGGGGATCAGCATTACGGCACGCGCGCGTGCAGATATGTGCGTGCGTTCTAGCAAGATTTTGCTCTCTCTCTCTCTCTCTCTCTCTCTCTCTCTCTCTCTCTCTCTCTCTCTCTCACACACACACACACACACACACACACACACTGGTGTCTCTCTCTCTCTCACACACACACACACTGGTGGTGGATGTCAAGGCTCATCAATGAAACGAGCCTCCCCCCGCAGCCATTCATACACACCTGACTCGTTCATTCATTTTTTCTCATCTAACAAACCTGATAATTCATTGTCTCGTAAAAGATCACCACCCATAGCCTGCACAACCTCCCATAGCCTTTAGATGACACAAAAGGCAGGTGCATGCCAGCCTTCGTCCCAAATGATGCGCTGATGTCTTGCGTAATGTGCCAAGCCCGTCCGCTTCACGGGGACAATAATAAATCATCATTTACTAGTCTCTGTGGCACGTGCTGAATCTCATAAATAACATTAGTTTATTAAGACGCATTTCTCACTGGCAATCGATTTAAAAATCATTAAAACAGCCCAAGATTTTAAGCAATTATGCAACAAAATCAAAGGAATTTTCAGAAGCATGGTAATCCAATTCTGATGCAGATGTTCAAAACAGAAGACAAGAATGATTTCTTTGTCATTAACAAGCGCTGGGGGGTGTTGCTTTGTGCACAATAGGGATAGCAGAAGGAGCATGTGACTCGCTGCATGCAGGAGGGGTCCCTACCTTCCGACGGTTCCGGAATTGACCCACATGCCAGACTGCCAGTGGTTCAGCCGGTCACTCAAACCGGACAAAGACGCACGGAGAACGAGGAGGTGACGCGGTGATCCCGTTTTTTGTCACAGAGAACTGCGGACAGGACCTCTGCCCTGAAACATCCTCCTCCCCTTCACTTCCCCCTGCAGTCCCTATTATTCAGCGCGCCGCGCGGAGATCAACAAGTACAGCGTGGCTGCAGACACGGAGCGGATACGCGCTGGATTTCCGGACGGACACTTCTCAGATTTAGATCTGAACATAACTAGCCGAGCGATTCTTCTCGTTTGAGCCACCCCCTTTGTGTTGTTGTTGCCACAGCTGATTTAATCAAAGACACGCCCCCACGCTGTCGCGTCACCAATCCGGACGCCAAGCGCATAATGCTGCGTTCTCGTTCAGTGGGAAAATCGAGAAATATGCTTTATCTGCGTTGTTTGGCTATATATCTAAACTGAAAATGACATCTGTAGGAAAAAGTAATGATTAAAACATTCATAAGTGAGTAAATGCAGCTAAAATAAGCCATCAGCGTAATTTAACTTGCGTTCATAATCACATTTAGGCTTTATTAGTTTCTGTTGTTTGCAGGTTAAGACTTTCAAACAGTAGCCAAATTGTTTGTTTCATGTGTAAACATCTCCGAGCAAATACAAGCAGATCAAACGGTAAATATGTGTAGGATTTTGGACACTGGAGCAGAAATCAGAAAGGCTAAAACCATAAACTGTTCAGTTTGCATCCTTTAACCGTTTTAAATCACATCCATCACAACCTTCATGGGCAAAATCAAGACTATGGCCCTGATTTAAAATATCTACTAAATGTTAATCTCATTAAATGTGCAAATGCCTAAATATCTGTTGAAGTTATGACATTTTGGTTGCAGATCCTATAGAATTTAAAAAAACTAGACAATATAAAACACTGCAATTATATTTTGCTTCTGTAGTTATTCTGGGTGATCAGATGTAGCAACTATAGCAACCGTCTGAATCCAGCAGAAAACCAAGATCGTTGATTGGCTCGCGGAAATTACACAAGTTTTCCCCCTTTTTCTAAAATCTAGGAATTCCTTTTTGGAATATTAGCTGCACCAAAAGTAAAAAATAAATTAAAATAATAAATTTTTATTTGTATAGTGGTAAAACAACTCACCTGTTTAAAAATATCTTTAATTGTCACTTCAACAGAGAAGAAGTGCTGTTAGAGCATAGCTGATCATTCATAACAAAACCTCATAAAATATGAATGTGAAGTTTTCATTACGCAACATATTATGAAACAATTGATCTATGAGATTCTGCAGTGTATGCTCTTGTGTGGGTCCTAGATGCATGTCTGCTAACTTCCTCAGCCCTTAGCTAGACTGAAGACAGACATCTACTGGCAGAGTTAGGTACTGATCCCATGGAAACAAAGAAAACAAACTCCTGATGCCACATTATGCCAGGGCTGTCACTCCAGACCGCTGCAACAAAGAATTAAATGTCTTTGCTGAGGCTCCTGTCATAAATTATACGTGTTGATCTGTTTGTCTGCAGAAAATTAGTTAAACGTGAATTAATTCTTGACAACATCAATGCATTCATTGCATTTTCTCAAGGATTATTCTTGTGCAACATGCAAATCAACACCAATCAGGAGAGAGATGTGTTATCTGCTTGTTGAGTGTTGTCTGGTTGCCCTGAGAAAAGGCTGCCCCCTGACCCGGCTGGCATGGTCAGAATGGACCAGCATGAAAGATGTGCTGGAATGCTGTTGGAGAAAGCAGGGGTTCAGCACTACTGGTACCAAGAGGGCTTAGAACTGTGGAGAGGCAGCCTCTTTGTCTGAGACGTGGACTTGTGTGAGAACTCTCCAACAGCACCGTCAGATGTGATGTCTGGCCTTTTCAGCTACAGTAGGAGAAAAACAGGAGCTTTTTCTTCACTGGCTGTTTTACTGACAGAGTGGGGAGTGTTCTCCTGTACCTTTTAGACTCTAGTGAGATTAAAGTTAAAAGAATGAGGTGAGATCATTCTTGGGCATGACTGCATTAACCACAAGCTCCCTCTGTGGGCACACTTTTGATCTGCAGAATATTTATTTTAAAGTTTGAACGCCAACATTTAAATTTGTAAGTGAACTGATTTTCAGATTGGTTTAAGTAAAAGTAAATGTTTTTTAAGGAAATGTGTCATTTTTATGTTATAAGTGGTTGGACAGACAAATAATAAATGCATAAATAGATTCAACTCATCCAATTGTTAAAACAAATAATTTAAAAAGTTTTTGAGTGCCTTGGGAAGATTCTGCAGACTCTGAAGTGGGTGTAGTTTTTTGGACAGTGTATGTTTTCTTTAGATTTCAGCATCAGGCAGCAAAATTACTAAGTTCCTATAGAATTAAATATTTATGACTTTAAAAAATGTAATGTTTGGACAAAAAGGAAGACTTTTGCAAAAGGAAGACATCTCCAACTTTAAAGTCCAGGCCACACTGTGTGTTTTTCAGCTGCTGAAGGACTGCTTCATGTCACCCTGTGAAGACTCTATGAGAGGTGGCACACTGTGCAGTCCAAATGAGACAAACAGCACTAGGTCTCGCTCGAGCAGGACACGCTAACATCAAGAGAGTACCGGCCAAAAACATACATCACTAAAAGCTGACGGCTAACCAAAACAACAAAGCTAAACAGAGGAAAATATGCCAGCGTTATCACTTCTTTTATTAGAATCCAAGCCAAGCTCCAAAAATGAGCGGTCCGCGCATTCTTGCGTGTATCCTCCACAGTTGCTAATGTAGCTAATTCTTGAATTATACTCTCGACACTAGCTTTTAATATCACTCCCTGGGTGTAATTTCATTTGTCGATTGCAGACAAGAGTCGTAGGGTTTCTGACACAGCTTGAGGACTGTTGGGAGGCTGAATTTGATCGTAGGAGAGCTCATCAAGCTGTTGCTGAGCTGGTCACACTGGACGGCCACAGACCTGCAAATCACCCTCACATTCACTGTTTTTGTCACAAATTTATTCATGATGACGGATTTTTCTAGGATGGCTGAACAACGCACAGTGTGACCCAGGCTTAATGCATGGAGGTGGAAGGGTCACACTTTGGGACATGTTAGTTGGTTGCAGGAAAAAAGGTGGGTTCTACAACAGGACTAAAAAAATAATATTTAAAAAAATACATTTTTTAAATATTATTCCTGATCATAATGTCACTTAACATTCATAGACTCAGCCATCTTGAATCGCGACGAGGAAGGCTGTTGTTGGTTTAGCCTCCAGGAAACAGTAGAGAACATCTTGACTAGTAGAAGCTAACTGTTGGCAGCTCTACGTACCACAACTCCTCTGGACTTGTGGAGATAAAACTTCAACGTTGAAAGTCAGTGGTGGAGGTGTATTGCCGTTAGCCAATCTGAGGCAAGATGTCCAAATATCAGATGTAGCGTCCAGCAATGGTCAGTTTAGGCACTGTCTGATCTTTCACCATCTATTCAACATCTGGTCAGAAAGTAGACACAACATTGCATGCGTTCCCTTTAAATGAGCAGGCCTTCGTACCAGCTGGGATTCACAGACTGCAAGTCTGAAAGATAAACAATAACTTTCTTTCCCAAGGTCCCATCTGTCTGCCTCCACAGAAGAAACAACTCCAACTCGAATCAGTTGCTAAATTCAAGAATGATTTACTAAATCAATATGAACTTCTTCTATGACTTATAATCTAGATAATCATTAAATAAAGATTTGTTTATTACTACTTATAATAATTATAGTACGATGAAATGCTTCATAAATCTGTGCACACTGAATGGAAGTTATATTATGTGTGTCTACTAGATCCTGCCATGTGTTCAACATGTTTTGACGACGAGGTCCTCACACCTGCATCCACACAATAACAAGCACGGTTAAGTTAGACGACAACACATAACTTGCCTTTTTAACCAGTCAGGACATCTGATATCAAAGAGGGTGTGTTTCTGAGTTGTCTTGGTAAAACATCTCTAAACTTGTCAGCCTCTGATTGGCTGTGCAAATCATAACAGCTAAACCTTAAAACTAGATCATTCTGAGAGATTCGTCAGTTCTAGAGAATCGCTCAGACCGGCCATCTGTAGCAAAACCTGTTTAACCATTAAAGATTTTGACACGTCGGCAAAACCTTTTTGCACCTGCAAAGCTGATGAGCAAACAGTTCCTGCAGAAACAAAGCTGATATTGTTAGACTCCTTAAGAGTCCTTCAGACGCACAGTTCCATCCAGCTGTCGTGACCCGAGACATCTGTGGACTGAAGAGTCGGTACCACGGTATTCTACAGCCTTCCGGTGCCAGCGGTCAGCTGACCCCTGCGACTTTCTGATCCACCGAGAGGTCTCTCTTAAATGGGTAAAGTAGACATGACCGACTGTGTCTGAATGTTCTTCTGAAGATAACAGCTTCATAGTTTAGAGCAAACCAAATTTTTTTTTTTTTTTTTCCGGAGATGCCGCTTTCCGAGATTTGGAAGTTCTGACCAACATCACACTGACACATAGCCTTCATCACATTTAGCTCCATCCAATCACAGTAATGCTTAATTAATTAGTCATGTTTTAAATTGTTTGTAAAATAAATTCTTACTTTTATAAACCTGACTCTTTCTTGAAGTAACACGAACTGTGGTTGATCACTGAAAAAGCAGAGAACCTAGATCTTCTGAATTAAATACTAGAATCTTCTGAATAATTACATTAAAGAACCTAGCAGGGTAATATTTTACATTTTTATAGAATATTACATCTTCCTGGTCATAACAGATAAAATCATCAATTTGCCTACGCTACACAGGAAATAAGAATTAAAATCCTGTTGTCTGAAGATCCCTTCATTTGCTAGTTCCTGAAACTGGTGCACCGGGGCTTTTTTTCCCTAGAGTACAACTGACAAAGGCATTCATTCCTACCAGAGACCACTGTAAATGCTCCACACCTATAGGCACGCCTCTGAAAGAGCTACAAGCTGGACTTGCCATTTGACTTGTATCATGGAATTACCTTTAAGGTACATTATGTAAGAATGAAGTAAGAATGACATCCTGTGGTCAAATTTGGTTACTGCTGCCCGTTTTGCAAAACGCCTGGGGTGACTTTATCACTCCTGTTTCGTGAGTTGGTTGTTGCCAGCTACAGATCAGCACCAGAAGATACTAGAAAAAGAAGAAACTGTCTTTTATACTGTGCCTCTCAAGACAGAAATCACAGGGAACTTCCCAAGAACAAAAATAAATAAATAAAATAAAAAAAGATTAAAAAAAATACATAAAATAGGAAAAAATAAAATGTGTAATTAAAAATGCGAGGAAAGAGAGAATGAGTGAGAAAAAGCAATGAGTGGATCCCGGGACAGGCAGAATTGGTAGATGATGAGCAACGACAAGTCATATACAGCAACTTGTAAAAGCAACCTTCAATCCAACATGACTGACACATTAGACTGTTTTGTGATTATTTTACTGTAAAACTATTACAGTACATTTTTTGCACCTTAAAGTCTTTCATCCCACCTTAAAACGTCAGTGACCCCCCACCCGCCACCACCCCGCAGCTCCTGGTCCTATTTTTTGCATTACTGTGCAAGAGAGGTTCACTTGGAATGTTTTCAGACCTTGAGTTTATTTAACACCAAGGATTTGGTATCAAGTGTCATTTTAATAACCATGGAGCATTTTAGGAGAACACCCATGCCCTGATCTCCTCCTATTATATCCATTACCCCATCTACTCCCCCCACACTGACCCTGAACTCACCTGAACATCCAACATGGCTGACGCAACCCCTGCCCTAGCTCTGTACTGGAGCTGCTCTAAAGCTGTCAAAACACCCAGCTTCTCACACTACTCATGAGAGTTCGTTTTAAACACACACCATTCCAAACCCTAAAACACACACACACAAACACACAATGAAAATAGTCGACATGGAGCCCATTCAGGGCCACAAGTAGGTCAAAGCTGCAGTGGGTCTACCACATCACCACGACACAGGCAGACACAGATTACATGAATGCTTTAGCTGAGACACATTTAAAGATGAGATCATTGTGCTATGCGTCGCAGGACATGTTTGCTCATGTTTGCTCTGATTTCTGTGATGTTTTTCAGTTTTTATTTCTTAGAAAGAGATATCAGACACCAAAATGACCGAAGACTAGAGAGAAATCAGCTTGTTTGATGTTCAATCTCTAATAGAGTCACATTAAAAAACACTCAAACACAGAGAAACTCAAATGCTTCCATCACAATCAAACTAACATGCACACATTGTTTTGTTACACAGAGAAGTAACAGAGCTTTGCCACTGCTGCGCTCCTTGTTTATAAAAGCCACCGTCTACAGGTGGTTCAGAATGCATGTGCTCGGCTTCTGACCAAGTCCTCCAAACACACCCACATCACCCCGCTTCTCCTCCAGCTTCACTGGCTGCCAGTCAACTTCAGGGTTCATTTCAAGATCCTGGTTCTGGTCTATAGGGCCTTACATGGACAAGCACCATCTTACATTGGTGATCTTCTTAGTCCCTACACCTCCAGCAGGTCCCTGAGGTCCAGTGATCAAAGCCTACTGGTTGTGCAGCACCAGGCTAAAAACCAAAGGTGGCAGATCATGTGCTGCTGTGGCCCCCAGACTCTGGAACTCTCTCCCCCTGAGCCTGAGATCAGTGGACTCAGTGGTCTCCTTCAAAAGACAGTTGAAGATTCACTTGTTCAAGCTGGCTTTTGTATGACCTTCTTCAACCCCTCGCTCTTTATTTTGCTCTCCCCACCTATTCCACCTTCCTCAGGATCCACTGATTTCCTTCTTTCCTATTCACTCTCTCTCTCTCTCTTTCCTAACATTTTTTAATCACAATTGTCTATGTTTTGCTCATTTTAAATATATTTTTAAGCATTTTCTAAATTCTTTTTTATATTTTGACATTTTTTGTTTTGGTGAAGCGCCTCGTGATTTTTATCTTGAGAGGCGCTATAGAAATGATCTTTTCTTCGTCTTCTTCTTCCAAGCTCTTTGGTGATGGTCATGCTGTTTAAAATTATTCAATCTTTTATGAGGGCTGAGAAAAATAAACCAGGCTACAACCAAATGTTGTTTACTTCCTGTTATCAGCTGATTGTCTTATCTAAAATGTTGCCTCATTACATTCTTATGAAATCACTGCATTCCTAATTGTGGGAACACAGAAACTCAGTAAGGCTACACCACAGAGCATCTAAATACTTGTTTTGCTTTTAGTTTATTTTCCTGCTTTGTTTCCTAAAATTAGACATCTCAAAATTAAATAAACGAACCAAAGTTACACATTGGAACATAAAGAAATGTGTAAATTGTACATTGAAAAGATTTGGTGGGATAAAAAGCTTTTTAATTGCATCACATCAACAGCCAAGAAGCACGATATTTATAAGCTGCAGTCGTAACAAAAGAATGAAGTGTAATTTTAATTCTCGACTCATTTAACAGATCTCTTCTATCTGCAGCATCTAAATGAGAGCACGTCATATTGCAAACAAACGTGCTATTAGGTAAAACGCAGATGTCTGGGCTGGAGACGATGGGTCGTGATGGTGGAATATGTGAAGAATGTAAAGTGGTCTCAAAGACTGGGGCAAAGGCTGTGAGAGGAACTGATAGGATGGAGGCCGGGCTGAGTAAAAGTGAAGGAATCTGGTGTAGAACGGGGTGGGTCTCTCTATTCATCAACCCACAATTCATCTGAGACTGAACAGAATACTAATTATTACATCAACAACAACTTTGGTGTTTCACAGTTTGGTCATTGGTAGTCTAAAAGCAGGACCTGTAAACTTCACACTGTCTCTCATTAGGTGCCTTCTGTCTCCTAACGCAGTTACAGCTGTGGGGCTAAGCACTCATCATCCACCATCAGCATCATGTTAAAGGAACTCTGCAATGAAAAGAAATGATCTAACTAAAAGTGGAAGTATCCAAGAACTTGTTAACTTAAGTAAAATTATTAATGCACGTTCTAACGTGTTTCAATGTTAAAGAAGTAAAAAAAAAATTCAACTAACATTTAAATATGCATTGTGTGTGTGTGTAAGTGTGCTTAAAGACGGTGGAAGCTAAAGCAGGAGATCAGTGTCAAAGACTGTTTTCATGTTCAGCCTGCATGAAAAACTCAGAGTGACTGATTATAATCAGAAAAAATCATTAAAAATGAAAACATTTTTATTTCAATCAACCACACCTTTAAAATCGCTTTTAAAAAACAGATAGTTCAGGGAAGTACATGTAATTGCTTTAAAATGTAGTGGAGTGAAAGTAAATAAAAGGCCTCAAGAAAATTCTTAAAGTAAAGATACTGAAAGGTTGTACTTGAAGAAGAAGAAGAAGAAGAAGAAGAAGAAGAAGAAGAAGAAGAAGAAGAAGAAGAAGAAGAAGAAGAAGAAGAAGAAGAAGAATCATGGCACAAATGTACTAGAATGCTTAAAATAATAAATAAATGAATAAATAACATAGGTGCCCCCCCCCCCCCCCCCCCAAACAAGTGCCCCACTTGAGAAACCCTATTTTAAAAGACCTGGACACACCACTGTCCGTGTACAGGCAATGAAAATATTTCACTTTAAATGAGGAAACTGAGTAAAAATATCAAATTTCAGAAACTTTTGCACCTGCTGAAGGGTTTTGTTTGTGCTGTAAAATAACAGAAGAAAAGCTAGAAGTCATATTTTCTATTTTGAGATGCTGATTGTTCAAGTGCTCAGCCACTCTGTACTCTGAGTTTAACACAACTTGTGTCTGTCTGGGAGTTTTAATGTGATGTATGACTTCATAATTTGACAGTTCAATTCAAATGACAGGAACATAAGAAAACATGAAAATGCAGTCAGTTCAAATGAACATAAATGCATATATATATATATATTTTTTTTTTTGCATGCACTCAGGCAAACATCCCAAGTCTCCCGGATGGAGCCACGCAGGTCAGCAGAGGTGCTTCATAATCTGTGGCTGGCAAGTGGCAGGGCTAATCTTATTAGGCTCTTAATCTGCAGGTCCAACCCCTTCAAGGTGTAGTTCACTTCTCTGAAAATGTAACAGACTTGATTGATTCATAAGAAGACATATTTAAAGTGAAAGACTGTTTTACTGTCTTGATAAATGAGTGCTAGACTGCTGATTTACGCAGCTCTAAGGCCTTCATAGAAAAGGAGGGATCTAAATGCTTTTAGGCTGAATGCTTGGTTGGATGCGGGGTCCGGGAGTCAGGAAGCCAAAGGAGAAATAGGACAAGGCCCAATCCCAATACTGCGCCCTGTGGTTTTCAGCAAAGTGCACTTGAAGAAATTGTGCAGTAAGGCTTTGAGTGCGTAGTACACAAGTGAGCAAATAATTGTTGAACTGAGACAGGGAGCATTGCGTCATCAATCGCAATGCATGCTGGGATGCTGGTCAATGTGATCAAAAAAGCTTTATTAACAACTTTTGAATAAGCAACCAAACAATTATTTGAAGTAAATTTAAATTCATTGCTGCTTTGCCTAAAAATTTCAGGGCATCTACTAATCATCCTAAAAATGAACCACTTTCATTAGATTTTTTTTTTTTTTTTAGAAAAGCCACTTGAACCGATTTTTCCGCACCAATGGATTGTGGGTAATACACTTCACCCAAGTTTGCATCTATGTGGACTTGGGTGAAATATGTGTGGAAATATGGGAATGAGGATGGATACCAGGAAGGAAGAGTCTCTTGAAGGGCCATAGTCAGGTGAAATCTCAAACTGAGGGACAAATTAAGGTTATAGAGGACACCAGTGTCACCAGATTTGAACCATTTAGAACTTGCAAAAATGGTTTCCATGACTCTGGGACAAAAACAGAGGCTGAAAAGTAAGCAATCCAGTGTTGCAGCAGTTCTGCCTGATCGAGTCTTAACCAACAGCCTCTGCTGTCCAGCAGTTCAACATCCCACTGAGCAACACAGCGAATAAACACACGGGTCAGTGTTTCAGATCTGACTAGTGGATGCTTCAAAAGCTTCAAATGCTTTAAAACAAGAGAAGTCTTCTGCTGAAATCGCTTTATAGAATAACTCAGAAACACTACGAGCTCATTGTTGTTCTAACTGATTTCAGGTAAAATCTTCTTTTATCATGATGGGAGCAACTTATTACTCACTTATGTGATGTGTGTAAACAAACACAAAAGACTGGTGTTTACTAACTCAGTGGGTGACATGGGAACGTTTTTGTCTGTGTGAAATGCTTGACTGACACAGCAGATACTTTAGTTCCGTTGCAGCACAGAAAGCTCACCATCAGACATTATGCAGAGCATTATGCTCCACATTTAAGAGCTTTATTGACAAGTGCATTAAAGGCAGATCAATGGGTGATGAACGGCAGGAGGTTTGTTTATCTGACCTACAAAGTTACACCTGACTGCTTTCTGTTGTGATGTTGAGTAT